GTAACAAGTGCCTTACTAGTAGTAACAAGAAGCTACTAGAAACAAGTGCATCGCTACTAGTAACGAGTGCCTTACTGGTAGTAACATGTTGTGGAATGCTTTTTCCCGGTTCCTTAAGCAAATCCAAGGATATCGGTCTGAAAGGCCATGATGCGGCAATCCAGGAGAGCTCCTTGAGCTGCCCACTGCTACTGGTCTTGTGAATGCTTCCGAATTGCAATGTACCAAATGCCATGGCATAGCTCGTTAGGGACGCATGCTTTCAATTTTCTTCTTGAAGGACTACCGTTCGAGGGTGGAATTTTGCATTCCAATCCTTGTCAATGCATCTGTAGCCTACGATGTCTCCGAACGACCTACACCGGAAATGGTGGAGCAGGCTGGGTTGTTTGAGAAAGGCTTTATGGATCTCTCTGATTTGGCTAATTTGTCCTGTTACTACCGTTACTAGTGGATTCTGGACAGGGAAAGCCTGCTGGTGTGTCGGGCACCTAGTTTATCACAGTTAGCTTTTACATGCATTTACTTTGAACAATTGGCTGACCCATGGGCCAAGGAACCTCGCTGGAAAACTCCTGAACGAAGCTGGAATGCCACCGCGCGAATGTATCGTTGTGCGAGCACAAGGGGAGGGTGTTATTAGCAATGCCAGAGCAGTGCTGGTGGAGACGACGCTTGTTTGCTATCAGGATCCCCAAAGGACACGGTCCTGGTTTGCCAACGTTTGCAGAACTCTCTCAACACGACACTTGCTACTGCTTGTTTCGCCCGCGCATCCTGAACTAAAGCCCTCAGCGGAACTCGAACAAGTTGTTGTAGAAGAAGAGGCAAAGGCACAATCAGCTGCAACTCAACGGAGCAATGCAAAGCCGTTCATTGTTCATTGGACTCCAAACACAACTTGGGCTTCATTCTGAAGCCAAACAATTGGCCTTCTGGGCTGCAAAGGTGTCACTCTAATGCAACGCCCGAGCGTTCCATTTTGAGGTTCCCTCTTCACATCTTGTGACAAGTTTGGTTGCTGAACTTGGGAGAACAACAGGGATGGAAAAGCCGTTTAGTCCTTTGTAGTCTAGTCTAGTATGGCCTACGTAGTATCATCACAGTCAATTCTCGTCAGAATAATCTCTGGCACAAGATCACCGACAGTTCTTTCTTGAGTGGCACATCCACCGAACAAGTTCTACTCCCTCGGCTGTTTGACACGTGGGATACCTCGCAATATCTCGACACTTGGCAAGTCTTGGATGCGAATCGGTTCCATTCGTGAAGAAACCCTGTGATACCCCGCCACTTTGGACACCATGCTTTGGACAGGCGGCGATAGAAGGCCGATCTAGTACCTCTAGCACTACCTTCAGTGAATTTGTCCAGCCAGAGCTGCTGATGGAAGCTGTGTGCCGAGGCTTCGCTGCCGTGCTGAAGCCGCAGTCACCAGACGTGGCCTTGTAGATGAATATGCCCTCAGTGCATTGCACCGGTGTGCAGCTCAGACCTTTAGCATCATAAGTTGATACATAGATTGAAAGTTGATAGCAAAATTCTAGAAACCAATTATACTACCGACTCTATAGTGACTTAGGATCGAGAAAACGATTGTGCAAAATCGGTCAGATATCATAGGACCGGAGACGAATCATCCATGCAGGTGAAGTGCACACATCGAGAAGTGTACGCGTATGGCCATTTAAGGCCTCAAGTCCGCTTGTGTGAAAGCTGCGCCCGCGCCTTTCATGGTAGCGGAGCTCTGGTCGTAAGCACCGAGCTCCGTTGCCCACGTCGACACTACGAGCACGACGACGAAGGTTACACAACCATCGAGTTCAAGGAGGAGATCCAGGGCAGGACCAAGCGCATCTGCAATTTGGCTGCTAGAGCTTTTGATTTTGGCAGGGCTCGCGGGTGGCGCTGGTTCGGCGACTTTGCAGGAGATCCAGTGTTCCATTCCAGTTCAATCACCCCAAGGAGCGAGAAGGTGAAATTCAGGTGCATCCACACCCCATGTTCGAGCATCGGTGATCCTTGCAAAGCAGAAGAACCCCTCAGTACTGAAGGAAGTGATTGTGGTAGTTCCCTCGAAGTGGAAGTTTCTGGGAAAGTTTGAGGAGTCGAGAAAAAACACATCGCCGGAAGATTTGGGTGAGCTAGTGTACAACTGGCATTTCTGGGAACAGCTAGTGCATTCTAGATTTGTTTTCGGAGGTGAGGAACCCTTTGCTTCGGTGACAACCAAGACCTTTTACCCCGACATCAGAGGTTGGAGGAACATGGCTGAGGAAAGCCTGAGGCTAGATGCATCGGCTTTGGAGAGGCTGACCCTCAACCAGCAAGCTCATGGTTGAAAGCAATGTCGATGCAGACTGCAGCATTGATGACATGACAGACGCGGCCAAGGCAAAGGCAGTCTTGTTTGTACAGTCTTTTGACAGCATACCTGACACAACGGCCATTGAAGTTGATCAGGCATGTGAGAATGAGAACGGCTTCCAGGCGTGGCAATCTTTGCTCAAGGTCTTGGGCATTGCTCAGCCAGTTGCCCAGGATACAGTTTGCTGAAGGGAAGACTGTGTCAGAGCAACTGCCGCAATTTGAGTCCTTGGTTCTGGAATGTTCTGGAGTATGAACGAAAATCTGGACAGAGCTACGGTGATGACGCCAAAGTTGCAGCTGTGCCGTCTTCATCTTTAGCTCACAACACAAATGAGCAGTTGAAAGATCGCATCTTTCAGCTGGAAGCAGTCACAACAAAGTGGGACAGCGCAATCTCCTTGGTGCTTCCGACTTGAGTCACAGGAGATGAAGCCACACCTATCGAGGTCGACTGCATGGGCAAGTCTAAAGGCAAGAAGTAGGGTGGCAAAGCGAAAGGAAAAGGTGGAAAGGGAAAGGAGACAGGCAAAGACAAACGAAAGTGAGACAGAAATGGCTGCTGGAAAGGCCTGAGAAAGGCAAATCCACGTGGGACAAAGGTCCGGGAATAGAAAGAGTTCTGATAAGGGCTCAAAGAGTGGCAAGACGAACAACAAGGTTGGACACTGCGCCCATGAACGTGGGAAGAGAGTGAACCAGGAGGGGCAAGTTCATCGTCTACGGGACAGACAGGGGCTATATCTTGAGCGCAGCGAGCTTCTGTCAAGATGCTTCTTTCGTTGGAGATCTTTGACTCGACGACACCGAGAAAGGAGAGTGATGCGCAGCAATGTTGGCACGCGAGGATGGTGAGACCTGAGGGTGATGAGCTGTTCTACAACAATGAGGAGCGCTATGACCGCTATGACCTTGAGGAACCCGCAGTGCATGTTTCTGAGGGTGTGGCCATCATGGCCATGGACCTGCAGGATGAAGAAGAGGTCATGGTCAACATGGTGCGTATCCAAGAAGTTGGCTATGAGGGAGAGTGCATTTCGACGCTGAGCAGATGTCTTTGTTCTTCCTATATTGAGCATCAAGGGCGAAAGACTGCTCACGATGGCATCGCACGGGCCACGGTTCGAGTTGGAGACAAGAGAGGAAAGGAGATCGAATTTGTTTTGGGCAATGCGCGCCCCATTCTTTGCGCTGGGAAACTGTTGAAGAAGGGATTGGAAACGTTGATGGACGCCTACATCTAAGGCATGAGACAAGGGAGGGTTGACATCCCTTTAGGCATTCCTTGCAGTTTGAAGCCGGCGTCTTCACAGTGCAGTCTGAGGAGGCACCAGTTGAGAGTGCAAAGACAAGGCAAGACAAGGCAGGCAGGATCTTTGCACTGATGGGCAACTTGAGCAGTACGTCAAGCACCTGGAGCTGACTCCAGGATGGCACCGTCTTCCAAACGGTGTAGCTGTGTATAGTGACAAAGTTGCAACACAGTTGATAGACTCATGAGACAGCATTAAGAATATCTACAAGGCCAGAATGACGGTGGTGAAAGGAAAAACGGCATGTGGAGAGGGGTTAGCTTGAGGGGGTTCACAAATCGAAGTAAATCAAAAACAGTTGGCAGGCGATTGATCGTTGGGGGATCGGTGCTTCTCCATACATTGCGCGCACTTATGCCACCAAGATTGTTCATAATATTAATATTTTTACTGATTCAAAGTACAACCGAATAAATGCAATCAAGGTCCCCTAGGTCCAACAAATGGAATTCGGGGACCCCCACGTCCATGCCACCTAAGGGGGACTCATTTCATAGACATATGATACTGGGTACTCCGTCGGGTCGTACCGACAAAAGACAGTGTCGTCCCTTTTCTTGAGGTTTGCTAATTTGTGTTGGGGGGAAGGCTCCGCAGAAAGTCGTTTTTTCCCAAACACAAGTTAACTCTGTTGGTTGAAAAGGGACCTACTTTTTGGTTGTATGCTGGGTGCTTTAACGCGGTGCTGGCAACCCATAAGGGGTTGATGTCATGTTCAAAATTAATGTTGCAAGCACGTGTCAAGAGACGTGGCCTGTTATGTTCAAACACACACCTTCATCTGGGGCTCTCCAGCTTTTGGGGACCTCCGAAAGGGGCTCTGCACGCCACGTTTTCGAGGCTGGGGCAGGTGCTCCGAAACCGTGGCGAGCTGGCGGAGGCCGAGGCGGTGTGGCGCCGAGTCTTGGAGGCCCGAGAGGCGAAGTGGGGAGCGAAGGACGAAGAGACCTTGGTGACGTTCAACAATCTAGCGGCCGTCCTGTATCACCAGGGCAAGTATGAGGAGGCCGAGCCGCTTTATCGCAGAGCTTTGGAAGGAAGTGTGGTTCCCGAAGTCTTCACGCAGCTCAACAATTTAGCGTTTCTGCTGCATGAACAGGGCAAGTATGAGGAGTCTGAAGCGCTTTGTCGCAGAGCGCTAGAAGGACGCGAGGCTTATTTTGGAGCCCGGCACCCCCTGACCCTCATGTCTACCACCAACTTGGGGGCGCTGCTGTGTGATCAAGGAAAACTGGACGAGTCGGAGGTGCTCTTGCACCGAGCGGTGGAAGGTGAGGAAGCCCAGCAGGGCAGCCATCATCCCGAGACGCTCCGCTCGGTCTTCCGCCTGGCCCGCCTCCGCGTTGCTCAAGGGCGGTTGGAGGAGGGCGAGGTGCACTTCCGCCGGGCGATGGAAGGCTTTGAAACCCAGTTGGGAGTCAGACATCAGTGGACACTCGACGCAATCTCGGGTCTTGCGAAGCTCTTGGAGGCGAAAGGTTCCGAGGAGGCCAGCTGGCGGGGGTCCAGCAGCTCTTCAGTCTCTTCGGTCCTGTGTTCTTTCGGATGCTTCGTTTCTTCTAAAATGCATCCGATTGCTTTCCGGTCCACCCACTTGTGGTTTTCCGAAGCTTGGAGCGTCCTCTCAAAATCACTCTCGCCACTTGGTTTCAAGGCACACAAGCTCTACCAACGGCAGTTGGACGCCTTGAAGGCGCGCCGAAGGGGTGGACTTTCGTGAGCGAACCAGTGAACTGCACTGCGTGCAGGTGGTTTGGAATTCTGAAGCCTAGTTCTTTGCCCAAACCCCTTTGAAGACATGCGTGCCATTGGAGCACTAGAAGGCGCTTCTGAAATGAATTGCTTGGGACGCAAATAAGTTTCAAGTAGAGCCTTCTTGGCTGTAAATGCTTGGCTGCTTGGAGATATTGGATGTTATTTGACACAAAGTTTGTGGGTCACAACATCAATCTTCCACAAATGATGTCGTGACTGTGATAGGCCCCAACTGCATGGGGGTTGCGCTGAACTGGTCAAGCCTTGAACCCTTTGGCGGTTTGACTTGCTGTGCATCGGTGCAGAAGCATAGCTCAGAGTTTCTAGATCGTATGAAGGTGGACACTGTACATGCTTCTGACAAAAGTCTGAAATGTTCTACAACCATCCAAGAAACTTTCACAAGTTGGACCTGTGTTTGATAGCCTCCAACTGCTGCTTTGCGACAACCGCATCCGCAGGAGTTGCATGGCCCTGACCATGCACAGACCTGCGAATGCCGTGAACGCCTGGAACACCTGCGTGGAAACAAGCGACAAGAAGATCCAACAGCTGAGGCGCGGACAGGTTCTGGGACAGCTGAGGCAGCTAAGTGCTGCTTGATCCGATGAGCAGGAGCCTACTGGATTGAAGGGTCAATAGGACATGAAGTGCCTTCAAAATGTGCGATGATTACCATTGCATACGAGCGTTGCACTCAAATGTTGGCATGCTCCAAAGCCTGGCAAACGATAGGGGGAGACTCACAAAAAAGAACGATACCCTTTAGTAACAAGGTTCCAAAGCAGTGGAAAACGATCGGGGACTCACAAATATGACGATGCAACAGCCACATACAATTACATAATACATTTTTCGGCCGTACCTCATATCACGATTGAATTCATATGACATGTTTCAACCATGAGATGTACTAGAATGGCTTAGACGAAACATGTTTCCCTTGTTGGGTTTGAACGCAAACATTTGATTTCCAGGCCATGATGCCAGATTCAGCTGATCAGTGAGCTGCATTTTCTTGCACATCGATGCATTCCGCAAGATCTGTGGGATCCAGTCTCACTTGCGAATCCACATGAGACCCTCCTGAGAGCTCAAGTGAAAAGCGTTTGAAGCTCCTCATGCCCCCTGAAATCCGCACCAAAAGACGAATGAAATGATGCGTAGGCAGTTAAAGGCCAAGGTGTTTGTTGTTTCGTTATGACCATGTCTCCAACACTGGCAGCAACATCCGATTTTTGCTGCCCTTTGCTTTCATGTGGTTAAGTGAAGAGCGTCCGCAAGAACCTGATACTTTTCTCAGCCCGAAGGCTTTTGTCATCCGAGCTGAGCGGGAACAATGCACTTCACAAACTGGAGGCAGCTGAGGCAACGAGAGCTACAACCGTTATGGTGTATTATTGATGAGGCAACTGCTCAAAAAGTTCCCATTTCTCCGACTTTTGACCTCATCAAGAATGGCGCGAAGAAAACACCCTGGCAAAGCGATGCAGCGCCGTGTAGCAAAGCTGTAGCAAAGCAGCAAGGCTCAAGCCCAGTTGCAACATCTGAAGACGCCTTTCGTCAACCACTTGCACTCACCGACGGAATTAAGATGAATTAAGACCCGACGGAATTCTTCGTGAAATCAGGGTGTGAAGAATCCAGGAATGATGGCCTCCACCTAATAGCGTCCCAGCTACTAGTAGCTTCTTGCTACTAGTAGTAATGCCAGGAGCCCCTAGTAGCGGATGTGAAGACTCCAGGAATGCCAATGAGGACCATCCAATTCAGTGCAAAGACCATCCTCATTGTGTGAAAATCAAGTAAACCGGTCCTGAGTCCTGTGTGAAGTCCAGGACCGAAGTCGGACCGTTCGGTCGCTTCCGGTTGCCGAATACCCAACCTCAGTGGGCTTAGATTTTGTCAATGAGGCCATAGCATGTTGGTGGCCATTTATTCAAGGCTCAAAGAACATGCCTCAACCTGACTCAGAGCAGGCAGGACTTGCTGAGCACCAGATAGCAATGGCCTCCAACTAAGAGCGATGGCCTCCTACCATCTCCTACCTAAGCGTGATGGCCTCCACCCTAGCTAGTAGCGATGGCCTCCAACCTGATAGCAATGGCCTCCAATTGACTTGAAGATGTGAGTTTGCCCAATAGCTTCTTGTTCCTAATGGCTTCTTGCTCCTAGTAGTAAGGCCAGGAGCCCCTAGTAGCGAACATTGTTCCTCCACTTTTGAAGATGAGCGCCAAAGCAACACTCGTGGAGGCACATGGAGCGCCAGCGGCTCCGCTGGACGAAGCGAGCGCAGTGGCCACAAAGGCCATCGAAGCGGCCATCGAGGTGCTTCGTAAGGAAGAAGAGACCACAGCAGTCGCCCGTGGGGATGCCTCAGCCGGTGGGTGGCGTGGGAGAGGCACGATGCGAACGTGACCTTTCTCTCCAAAAGCAGTTGACGTACCTAGTAATTTGTACGGGAGAATTTCCATTTTGTTGAAGGGAACTGTGTTGAAACTTTGTTTGAGTTCTTCACTTCTCAGAGGAGGCACCTTGGAATAGTGCCCGGCTTTTGCCCCACCGAAGCTGTCGCGGCACCACCTGCAGTCTCACTTATATCAATGTGTTTATGTGCTCTTGTCGCTCTAGTAGGAACAAGAAGCTACTAGGAACAAGTGCATCGCTTCTAGTAACAAGTGCCTTACTAGTAGTAACAAAAAGCTATTAGAAACAAGAATTAGGATTAGAATTTAAATAGAATTCTTTTTTTAAATAGCTTCTTGTTACTACTAGTAAGGCACTTGTTACTAGAAGCGATGCACTTGTTCCTAGTAGCATGTGGCCCGTGAGTTTCAGCACTAGCGCGCTGACCTGGGGAGAGTTCCAATTACGCGCAGATGCTACAGCACCCCGGCCCAAGGTACGATCGATTGGCTGCGCTCCACCTCAAACGCAGTAAAAAACTTGCTTTCTGAGTGCCGGGCTGAGCAGAACCCTCAGTGCTGCGAAGCCCTGCAGGGCAGAACAGTGATTGAACGATTGACGAACGACAGGCAGCTTGGAACAGAATGCGGTTTTGGTGTTTGTTTGTTTCATGTTTTCATCGTTCCATCGTGGAATTAGGTTCTGTTCCATCGTGCCAGACTGGTAAATCCCTGCCGCACCCGGATTCGGGATCTGAGGTCTGGCTATGACGAGGCAATGCGGTGGTCGAGTAAGTTATTCATGATTTTAGCACTGCACGGTAGTTGGTAGGATTGTGGCTTCGCGTTGCGTGTTGTGCTTGCACTACTTAGTAAGTCTTAGCTTCATCTCTCTCAGGCCTCTCAGGTGTTGATGTTCTTTGGGATGTGCACTTGTTCCTAGTAGCTTCTTGTTGCTACTAGTAAGGCAATTGTTACTACTAGCGTGGCACTTGTTCCTAGTAGCTTCTTCTTCTGTCACCTTGTCCCATCCCTCCCTCTCCGTCCTCCCCCTTCAGGATGCCACTGGTGTAGCCAGCATCGCTGCAGTGCGAATGCAGGAGTCGGAATCCTTAGGGCTCAAGAAGTCGAAGAATGCGCATCCGAGAAGATCAAGAACGACAAAAAAAGAGGTTGCCTAATAGATTCTTGTTCCTAATAGCTTCTTGCTCCTAGTAACGATGCCCTTTGTTGCTTGGAAGGAAAAAGACTTATCGCTTGCGATCATCGCTTGCTTATCCATGAACGACGTCAAAAAGACCGGAGACGCCGACGTGACCAGTTCCTCTCCTCCTCCCCTGGCTTAAGTTGGAGGCCATTGCTACTAGGAGCAATGTTTGCTGCTAGGAACAAAGGGCATCGCTACGAACGGAGCAAGGACGCTACTAGGTTGGAGGCCACTACTGACACCTCAGGCAGTGGCTGGAAGTCCTGCGCGCTCGGGAGGCCGTGATCGAGAAGGACCGCCACGAAGTGCAAGGTCTAGTTAGTCCTCTAGATCGGCTAGACAGTTCAGTGCTCCTAGTAGCTTCTTGCTCCTAGTAGTAAGGCCAGGAGCCCCTAGTAGCGATGCCCTAGTGCCATTGTTTTGCAATCAGCAAGGAATTGTGTCATTGCTTTTTCCGAGAGCGAACCATTCTCCATCAACAGCCAAGCCGTTGGATCAAGACGGGTTCCTCTACGGTGGACCGTGTGCATCATGCGACAAACTGTGCTAGCGAGTTGAGTGAGGACCTGACACAACAGCAGACCGCAGACCCCACAGCAGGATCTGATGGAAATCTCTAAGTGGCAAGTAGTAGCACGTCAGGTATATAGATAAGAATCACTTTGGTAGATGATAGGTGACTTTGGTGACTCAAGTCCAACAAGACAAAGGAAAGGAAAGAAAGCTAGGTATGATAGGTGCCGCAAGCCCAAGAGGGCCAAGACAACAGTCAACGCCTCACATTTGCTGCAACATCCGTGCCATGGGTGCGGGTCAGTGGTGGTGTGAGTCAGATCCTTGGCAAGTTTGGGCAGGGTCCAATCATTCCCGAAACCCAGAACAGCATTCAGCCAGGAGGGCCCGAAAGCATGATAGGAGTACGATAGATGTGATATAAGGAATGTTTCAAGATGATAATCCATTCTAGATCTCTACTGACATGGTGGTGTTGGCAGATGATGACATGGAGGTGCTGATGACAAAGGTGATAGTAAGGAAGATAAAGTTGGTAACTGTTCTGAGAGTAGCGTCCTAATCTTGCTCCTAGTTGTAAGGCCAGGAGCTCCTAGTAGCTTCTTGTTACTGGTAGTGATGCACTTGCACTACAAGTGGCCAGCTCTGAGCCAAGAGCCCCACGTCAAGATTGAAATCGATGACAGCTTCACACTTTGACCCTCCTGACTTCACACTTCGTCGACCGTCTCATGCATTGATGGCCAAGTTCGCACTTTGCTACAGCTTCAGGCACAACCAAATCGCACTTTCAGTCTCTCGACACTCGACACGTTGTTCCCTAGGTCTATCACCTACATCTCTGACCTACATTTGTGCACACTGACATGCATACACAGATATCTACATACATGTAGATATCTACGCGTGATGCTGACGGTGATGATGACGAAGGTGGTGATTTAGAACATGAAGTTGGTAGTTAGTAACTGTTCTGCAAGGAGAAGAGTTTTCGGAATTCCGAAAAGAAAGAAAGAAAAAAAGAAAACAAATGTTTGCTGGTCTTCAAGTCGTTGCTAGTTCTAACTGTTTTTCTCGGCGAACCGCCGCGCACCCAAAACCCTCGAATGACCTTGGCTCTGGAATAGCCAGCGCCCTGTGCTACGAAGAAAACACTTGTTGATATTGTGTTTGGTGCGATTCCCTTCTCGAGTTCTCGATATTTTTTGTTCATTTCTAAGTTCTTAAGTTCTGTTCGTTTCATCCGAAGGAGTTCGGAACTGTAACAAGTGCATTGCTACAAGTAGCAAATAGCTACTATAAGTAGCTTCTTGTTGCTAGTAGTGAGGCCAGGAGCCCCTAGTAGCGTCCTTGCTCCTAGTAGCTTCCTTGTTGTCCTCCGTGTTCTGCGGAAAAGGAGAAGGGCTCGGAGCGCTGCGTGGGCGGCTGCGGCCGCGGCTGCCGAGACGTCGACGGCGAACCGCGGAGCAACGTGGCGGAGCTTCCCATCGACGAGGCACGAAGACCTGGAAGGGTTGCAAAGGAAGTTGAAAGGTTTTGGGGAAAGGAACAGTTAGAACAGAGACGAATAGGTGGAAGAAGCAGTGTTTTCTGTTCAAGTGCTTTCTTTTACCCCTTCCGTTCTTTCCTTTACAAGGGTCTTGGGTCATTCATGATGATTCACAATGAGGTGGATGGAACAAAAGAAGCACCATGCTGATAGTTTTCTAGTTTCAGTGTCCCACTGTTTTTGATTCTACAGGATGATTATAGATGCTGGACTTTCTACTGTTGTCAGACTTTTGCAAAGGCAGATAGTGGTTGTCAGCTGTTGGCTTCGCATTCGCAATCTAAGGACCTATGGGACCTTTTGGGGGGGCCTCCTTTGGAAAAAACAGAGAACAGAAGCAGTACTCATGAACAGTAGCGAATCCATGTGTTAGTTGGAGGCCATCCCATCGCTATTAGGGTGGAGGCCATCGCTAGTAGGTTGGTCTTCTTCGCTTGAGGAAGGCAGCGAGACGGAGTACCAGGCCCAAGTGCCTCAGACACCAATGCCTCTGGTGGCACCACCACAAGAGATTCGAGGGCCGAGCGTCTACGAGTTGGAGATCGAGTGGATTAAGAGGGAAGGACAAACCGTCACGATGCTTTGAGCTGCTCCAAAGAGCTGCTCCAAAGAGCTCTTCGGAAGCCCGTTTCGGCCAAGTCCCTAAGATGTGTTTTGAAGTCCGAGCTTTGCTCTTCATCTTCTGCATTTCTTGAAGATTCGGAGGCAAGCGCCACGGGTCAGGATGTTCATCCCACCCGAGTGGCGAATTTACAAGTGGACAATGCGTTGAAGACCAGAATTGGCGTGGTAATGTCCATAGCCACGCAATGCTACGCATGTAAAGATTATTTTCAAACGGTTTCACCCAAAATTCCGGTCGCGTTTCGCAGCGTTTCAGAGACTGTCTTCTGACAGAGAAAGAGGCCATTGCTCATGAGCGCTGCAGAGTTCATTCCCTATCTTCTCGAGAGTTCAGACCGTCGCAGATGTTGACAATGGAACAGTTCGACCACATTTGACTTGTGACCGTTGGGAAAGTGTTGCTCATTTCAACGTGTTTGCAACATGTCATTGTGTGCTTCAATGTTTAACATTGGTAGCTAGATGCATCTAGATGCCCTTTTGCCGTGAAGGCTTCCAATATCTTCCAATTTCTTGTATCTCTTCCTTGCCAACCACCACAAAATAGTTTGTCTACTAAAATCGACACAATTCTCACAAAACGATCGAAGAAGGGAAGGTTTCATTAGTTCCTTGGTCGAGGAGCTGGAGGAGTTTGAGGAGTCCGAGTACCGCTGCAGCCGAATGTCCTTCGAACTGCAGAGACGATCCAAAGAGATCGAGCAGATGGAGGAGAGCAACAGCATCCAGAGACTGACTGGAATATGGATTTATGTGGAGGAGGGAATGTAGAAAGAAGGGTCAATGGAAAGCATTCTTAGTCAAAAGGTTTAAGGGAAAAAGGAAATGGAAAGAAAGGGTAAAGAAAGGTTTAAAGGATAAATGGTTCCTTTCTTTTTGTTTGTCGCTCTTTAAGGGATTTTTGTTTGAGGTTTGATGCCGATACAATTCTTCGGGCTACGCATTCTTGAAGTCCAGCTATGCTGATATTCTTTGGATACGGATGTTCTTTGATCCAATAAATCAAAGTTCTGTCTTCATTCGTTGAAGGTTCTGCTGGTCGTAGTGTGCAGAGTTTTTCAGCTTCAGAAAAGGCTTGTGCCCAAAGTCCCCAGATGATCTCGGGCCATCGCTAGTAGGTTGGAGGCCATCGCTATTAGAAACAATTATAACATAAAGCATGTGTTGAATTCAAAATCTGTAACAAAGAAGCTAGTAGAAACAAGTGCATCGCTACTCGTAACAAGTGCATCGCTACTAGGAGCAAGGACGCTACTAGGGGCTCCTGGCCTTACTACTAGGAGCAAAGAATGAATTCAACATCAATAACAAAAAAAAATGCACCGGGAGCGGTGGCCATGAGGCATCGGTCCAATTTGGGACATACCATGACAGACCAATCCTTGAATACCAGAGCAGGTTCATGCCATTTCATGCGCGCCAGAATGCTGGAGGTGTGTGAAATTGGTCAAATCAATGACAGAGGGGTCAAAAGAAAAAGAACAATCAATTTTGTCTAATGACCCCATCAGTTTTGTCTAATGCAACCAGTCAATGTGGAGCTTGGTGGCCGCATGGAGCTTCGTCGCCCGGTTCAGCTGGGCACTGTGGCTGGCATGTTGGTCCAGCATCCTCGTGGTGCCTTGCACTCTACATCTCTCTCTCTCTCTCTCTGTGACACGATTCGCAGAACAGGCTTCTGGAATGGTTGCAGGGAAGTCTTGTCCCTGTGCTGGTCGCCGTATGCCACACGCGGAGACGACACACACACACACACAAAAAAAAAAACTCCGGGAACACGCATGGGCGGATGTTCTTGGACATTGGTGCGAATCTTGGCTGGTGCGGCTTGGCTATCTTAGCATCAAACCGCGTGGCCAGTGTCACAATGTTTGAGCCCGTCCTACAGAACCAGGCTCAGATTGCCCAGGCGATTTGTGGAAACCCGGAATGGGCAAGCCGAGCTGCGTTGTTCTTGGGTGCAGTGTCCTCTGCAAGCGGCACATCCTAAATCGTGGGACGCTCGACAGTTTCGGAGCATCACGCCTAGGGACTCCAGAGGCATGGGCAGATGATCGTGCCAAGTTTGTGGATTTTGGCACGGTGCAACCTCAGCCTTTAGATCACCTCTAGAGCGGTCTAGGTGGTGCACGTCTCACTAAGATTGACGTTGAGGGAACTTCGAGTGTTGGCTGGGGCAGGGAGGCTGCTTCAATCTGGAGCATTGCCGCTGATTCACTTCGAGTACAACCCACATCACCTTGCCCACCACGAATCACAACCTCGTGAACTCTTCAAAATTCTAGCAGGACCTTTCGTATGAGTTCTACTGGTCTGCGGAGGATTTCGTAAAGGGGAGATTCGGAAGATCCAATTTTGCTCGCAGTGTTCCATTAGATGGCGAAGGCTTCTCAGTGATTTTGCACTGTGGCGGTTTGCGTTGTCAGGACAACTTTGTCGCTTTGAAGAGATCGAAGTCCGCCTCATTCTCACTTCGAGATCCCTGTTCCGAATGCTTTCGCCAAAGTTTCTTACACGAGAGAAGTGTTGCCAGCTGCAGGCAGTTGGCCGCTTTGTGTGGAATCCGAGTTGGCTTGAATCGGGCTGCCTGCCAATCTCACGCGGGTAAATTCTACCGAGCAATGGGAACGCCCTATGTGGAGTGGATTTGGTGCAGCATGAAAACTCTGCCAAGATAGATGCAAGTAGTACTCAGAGTACTTTGTTCCTAGACTTTTGTATTTTGTTGAAAAGGTGCGCGGCATCTTTAGAATGCGTGTTGCCATCGCTAGTAGGTTGGATGCCATCGCTTTTGGGTGGGAGGTCCAGCTGCACTCAGCTGGAGACTCGCGGGGCGTCACAGGAGACTCTCAAGCTGGAGAACTCCCGCGCAAAAGCCGTCCGCAAGGTGAGGGTTTCTTCTTTTGAATCTGCGCGAACAAATTTTAACGGTTCTTTCAACGGTTTTTGCAAGTCCTTTCCTTCTTCCGTTCCTTCTTTTGCTGGTACCGCCAAGAGATACCCAAGGCCCAGGCGATCTTGGTGCCGCGAGTAGCCAAAGTGGTGGAGGAGCGGAACGCGACGACACTCCGCCAAGTCCGGGCGCGAGCTGGGCATTCGTTTCAGACGGGAAAGCTATCCTTTTCAATGTGCTCAAGGAATTGCCTGCAACCTATTAGCGATGGCTTCCAACCTAGTAGCATTCCCAAAGAGTAAAGGTTAAAAACTGATTTCACTTGAATGAAACTAAAAGCTGTACATTGCAGTTGCTCTCGCCCGCGTGAACTTACAGCTGCCTTTCCTTGCCCTTCGCAGGAGATGAGGAAACCCTTGCCGCCTCCAGGCCTTGTGTCCAGTGCTGGTGTCTATGAGAATTGCAATTTGCACCCAAGTGCTATCTGTCGCAGTGTTTCAACATCAAGTGCTTTCAACAGCAGGTGTTTTGCAGCTTCGCACGTTTCACCATGTTACGATATGTTTTTGCCTGCTCTCACACTGGTTTGCTCGACATGTCAAGGTTGTAAAGATGGATGGCCCTGGGAGGTCTCTTTGGATCTCTGGCCTGGCACTTGGCCGACGGTTCGTCGAGCTTCGGCCCCACTCCGGTCGGCGTGGACCAGACCTCGCGTACTGAGGTCGTCTCCCAGCACTGGAAATGCTGGAGCTGAGGGTGTGGCACGGGGCAAGAAGCCAATGTCCAAAGCAGGAAAAGTGCTGTCAAGATCCAAGAAGTTGTGGTCAAGACTTAACTTTGAAGAAAGAAAGGTCTAAAGAAGGAACGAATAGAAAGAAAGAACAACTTGTTGTTTGGAGTAAGAGGTAGTTGTGGAGTTGTAAGGGTTTTGGGTAGGAAAGATTGTCATGGGCTGGAGGATGTAGGACGATTTCATCCACTTTTTTTCGATGAGTTGGGTTTTTGCCCGTCGCTTGGTCTGCTTGGCCAGAGAAGACCTCCGCGCATTTGTCCTTGGCTCCAGAGCTTCAAAACGTTGTTTTCCTCCGCTGGCAGTGGCCTAAGCAGTTCGAGGCTGATCTTGGCATCCGTCTAAGACTCCTAGTGGACACGAGCCTCTTGCGAGATTGACGCCACAGAGTCCCACAGAGTCATTGCTACTAGTAGCGATCCACCTTGTTACTAGTAGATTATAGCTACTACTAGCGGTGCCCTTGCTCCTAGTAGTGATGCCCTTTGCTCCTAGTAGCTTCTTGTCTGACTCATCTCATGTCGTTCTCCGCTTGGGAGGCCATGTCGCGGCATTCCAAGCATTCCAATGACCGCATGTTCTTCACGGCGAAAGAGCGTGCGGATGCTGGCTACTCCAAGACCCGCAAGGAACAGACGGTGAAATGATGTTTGAAGAAAACAGTGCTAGCGTCCTTTGTTCCTAGTAGCGATGCCCTTTGTTCCTAGTAGCGTCCTCTTGCTCCTAGTGAACCAAACCGCAAACCGAAGCGCAGGAAGTCATGGGCACCGACTGTTTCCTTCCCTTCGGCTTCTGCGGGTTGTCCCTGAAGGCGCCCAAGGACTGCCGGTGAATCGAGGCCTCTTCGTGAAGCGACTAGGAGCAAAGGGCATCGCTACGAACGGAGAAAGGACGCTATTAGGGGGTCCTGGGCATCGCTACTAGGAGCAAGAAGCTGGATCAAGAAAGCACTTGATTGAGCAAGAGGATGTTTGGGCATTCCAGGCCTTTCCAGGCCTCTTCCTACCAGCTAGTAGCTTCTTGTTACTACTAGTAAGGCACTTGTTATTAGAAGCGATGCAGTTGTTCCTAGTAGCTTATTGTTCCTACTAGGTTGGAGGCCATCGCTATCGTCCTTTTGAGTCCTTTAAGTCCCACGCTCCCAACGAGGACCCAGTAGCAACGCGCGGAGCTCAGGTCAGACCACGTCGTTCGCCTTGGGGCCTTGGGACGGTCGCATCGAAAGGCGAAAGATGTGTAGCCGGAACCTGCTAGCTTTGCTCCTAGTGGCGTCCTTGCTCCTAGTAGCGATGCCCTTTGCTCCTACTAGCCTTCTTGTTCCTAGCAGCAATGCCAGGAGCCCCTAGTAGCTTATTGTTCCTACTAGCCCGGCACGGAACGGCAATTTCTTTCTTTTGACGATGGCCTCCAACCTAAGAGCTTCCAACCTACTAGCGATGGCCAATGGCTACTTAGGCAAGTCAATCCATACTTTTTCACAATTGAAACACAATTGAACGCAGATCTCCTTTCATGCTCACACCTGTTGAGGCCCGATGGCAACATCTTCGAGCGAGAATCCATTTTAGAATGCTTGCTACAGCAGAAGCTTGATATCCAGGCTCGACAGCGTCAGAATCTGGAAGTTAATCCGATGCGTGGGGCGGTTCTAGTAGCGATGCCCAGGAGCTCCTAGTCGCTTCTTGCTCCTAGGAAGGTTCTTTCTCTTTCCAGTTCTGCTTTGTTCGTCATCCTTGACACAAGCACTTCACAAGTCTTGCACAAAGACTTCATTCACCAGTGGCAGGCACAGCAAAAGAAATTTGAGGAGCAGGCAAGGTTTAGAGTGCCTCAGACACTGAAGTTCCGTTCATGAAAAGGGCAATTGGATTCCGGACCGTTTGTGCCAAACTGTTTCGTGTCGCTGTTCGTGTCGCTGATCGTCCCTGTTGTGGTCGCTTGTTCCTAGTAGCAAACATTGTTACTACTAGTAAGGCACCTGTTACTAGTAGCTTCTTTGTTACTAGTAGCGTGGCACCTGTTACTAGTAGCTTCTTTGTTACTACTAGTAAGGCACCTGTTACTAGTAGCGATGCACTTGTTTCTAGTAGCTTCTGGTCGCTTGAGGAGCGCAAGAAGGAGCAAAGACTCCAAGCGATGGACAAAGAGGTCAGCGCCACGAAGACGAGAGCGGACGCTACGAACGGGGCTCCTGGCCTTACTAGGAACAAGAGGACGCTACGAACGGAGCAAAGGGCATCGCTATTAGAAGCAAAGGAAAAAGAAAAGGAAGAAAGGTCTAATATAGTTTGCTCTTGGGTTGGAGTCCTGTGTTTGGTTCAATGCAAGGAGTCCAAGTCACTATTTAGTGGTAGGATGAGGGAGTCGAAGCCTCTCAATGACCAGGTGATCCTTGCATTCAGCTATGTTTTTGTATTGCCATCGTGATAGTTGCATGCAGTCATGAAGCCTTGTGGTTTTTGGTTGCATATTTCCTGGTGTGACGCTTTATGCCAGGAAGAGATCAAACAGTTGGAAGAGTTTACCCGTGCCGAGCAGGGACTCCTCTCTCAGGAGAAGAGCTAGAACCGTCGACAGTCACATCTGTAAGAAAGGGAAAGGCAGAACTTCAATGAGAAGAGTTGGTTGTGTCAGAAGCGTCCTTGCTACTAGTAGCGATGGACCTTGCTCCTAGTAGCTTCTTGTTCCTAGTAGTAAGGCCAGGAGCCCTTACTAGCGTTTTTGCTCCTAGTAGAGTTGGTTGTTTGCGTCAGAAACTTGGGCCAATTCCTTCAACATACGCAGCTGCGGGGTCAGAACTCAAGGTCACTGGGTTTAGTAAAGCAAGACTATCAAGACAGACAGAAATCGTGGTTTGGTCGAGATGCTTTCACCCAGCTTGCGGTGTTTGTCTTGCTTCGACACTGAGCATGGTGTGAGTGGGTGATACTGTGACCAGTCCGATCTGGACACTGTGCAGGACCATAGACACAAACGTGCACTGGAACAAGCGGACTCCAAAATCGATGGCATGTGCCTCCCTCAGCCACCAGTGCGCTCAACCCCAGGTCAGAGACGGGCACATCAACTGCTTCGGACGCAAAACTATCTTGTGCGTTCCATAGCATAGTAACTTTCCTTATTGCTTTTCTTTGTGCTGCTTTGTCTTTTTCTGGTTTCTTTGGACCTTTAGACCTCTTCTTTCTTCCTTTCTTTGCCCCATCCATCAGGCCTGAAAAGAAGCTTCGAAAAGGAGAGCTGATGAAGGTGGATAAGAGCCAGCTGAGCCTTGACCATCCAGTTCGCAATGTGGAAATTGGTGCTAAATGTGAAAATGATGAGAAGGGGGGTTGCGAAAAAGGATGACACCAATGTCGCTGAAGTCTCATACGAGTCAGCCCAGCAGATGCCCTTGAGAGATTCTGAGGTAGGTAACGTCATGGGCCTCTTCAATTTGAAGAAACGAAGAAAAAGCCCATGGGACTTGTATCTTATTGTTACTACTAGTAAGGCCCTTGCTCCTAGTAGCGATGCACTTGTTCCTAGTAGCGTCCTGTCAGTTGCTTTGCCTCGTGGTTCCAAGGAGAGCTAAGAGCTTCTGGACCAAGGAGCGCGATGGCCATGTCCGGAATCTCCGAGCTACCAGTCTCGCTGTCAAGAGCTGCCGAAACGTCTTTTTTACTTTCTGTTGCTGTTCCTTTTTCTGTTCATTTCGTTCTTTCCAAACAGCTTTCTTTACTTGTTGCTGTCCTTTTCTCTTTGGTTTTAGATCTTTAGACCTGTGTGTCTTTCTCTCTGTGTTTCTTTCTTGCTTCCTTGTTCCTCTCTGTGTGTTTGAACGTCAGGTATTTAGGCCCCTTAGACCCATCAAACCAAGCGGTGGCACAATCTCTCTCCATGTCTCCACGTTGCTCCCACTGGTGAAGGCCGGCCCGGCCAAAACGTAGCGGAAAGATTGGACAAAGTAATGCTTCTTGCTTGGGCTTGCTCTCCTGGCATCGCTACTAGGAGCTAGAAGGTACTAGGAGCAAAGGGCATCGCTACTAGGAGCAAGGACGCTCCTAGGAGCACACAAAGCCTGGAGCTTTCCCGCAAGCGAGGAGTTCACGCCAACAGCAGCTCCAACAGAGATCAAGAAGGAGGGAGCCTAAGCGCAGCAAGTTTGTATGTTGAGGATTGAATGAGAAGGATGATTCAGCATGAGGAAATTGGATATTGACCAATGAAGGTTGTGCCTTGGACTCCAGGCCCTTGGCAAGCAGAATTTTGACGGTGCTTGGAAGACCCAACCGCAGCCCCCAACTTCACAGGTAGTTCCAACGAAGTTGAGCTCAAACCCACTTGCGGACTCAGACCTCGTCCTCGTCAAACCTAGGTGGATACCACCACCAGATGTCCTATGACGGGTAAAAAGCTCAAGGTCAAGGAGAGCGGTTTGTCTCTCGAGCCGAGAGCTGGGGAAGCTTCCAGCTGTATTGTGTGGTCTTGGAATCAAAAGGGTTTGTCTCAATATCCAAAAATCAATCCAGTGGTCAGTCAAACGTTCGACGTGTTTCATCAGATGGATCTTTCATAAATCGGCGTTCTTTGTGGAATTACCACTCAAATAGAAAGCTATTAGGGTGGAGGCCATCGCTACTAGTAACAAGAACGTTATACTAGTAGCTAGGGTCCTCAATTTGGAACGACGGAGGATTTGATTTCTGTGAAGATGGAGGTTGCCGACCAGAAGCTCTTGGACCAAGGTGGAGGCGGATCGTTTTGTTGTTCATTGTTCCATGTTTGTTTGTTTGTTTTTGCACGGTGAGGGGTAGCTATAGTAGGTAGCTATAGTAGGACGCAGGATAGCTCGCACTAATGATTTGGTTCCTAGATTCTTTAGGTTCAACTCAAGGAGCCTCTTCAAAAGCTACCCCATGCACCAAGCGAGCGACTCATTGCGCTAGGCAAAGGCGTCTTCTGTTGCGCAGTCTCCAAGAACCCAATCGTGTTCCAGCAGGCTCGTGGACAGAATCGTTCTGCAGAATCGTTCTGCGCTTGTAAAAGTGCCTTACTAGTGCCTTACTAGTAGTAACAAGAAGCTACTAGTAGCAGGTGCCTTACTAGTAGTAACAAGTGCCTTACTAGTAGTAACAATGTTTGCTATTAGGAACAAGTGCATCGCTAAAGCCATGATGGACCGGTTCGGAGCTTCACTTCAGCGACTTCTGTTGACCGTCCGGACTTTGTGTATCCCATCCATTTGAGTTCTCTTGTGAAGGCAGTGCTTTTGAAGCCCTCTGGAGTCCCAAGCCTAGCTGAGATGGCGCTTTGGTCGAGCTGTGATTCTTTGGTCGAGCTGTGATTGCGCGATGCCGTTGGGCCAAGGTGGTGATCTTGGAAAGCGTTTGGAAGGACACAGAAGAGAAAATGACTTTCTGCTCTTTCTGTGTGTTTCTTTGTGGGCCTTTAGGCCTGTCCTTTGTTCAACAGGCCGTTGTGTTCTTTATTGTCTTTTGGTTTGTTATTCTTTAGACCTTTAGAAGTGTCCGACGTCTTATGACTAGCGATGCACTTGTTCCTAATAGCAAACATTGTTACTACTAGTAAGGCACCTGCTGCTAGTAGCTTCTTGTTACTACTAGTAAGGCACTTGTTACTAGAAGCGAGGCACCTGCTACTAGTAGCTTCTTGTTACTACTAGTAAGGCACTTG